TGTGGCAAAATTAATTCCATGGCAGCCTGCCTGATGCCGTCGGGATAGACTTCCGGTCTGTGTTGAGTTAATTAAGCAGCAACCACTAGCGCTCTTTAACGCACCGAGACAACTCCAACAAATCATCAAAGATTTCGTCCATGAAACGCGCATGCGACCCAGTCCTTTCATCCCGGCAGGGCAGGTGCGCCCTTATGGTGGCCATCCTCCTGAATATCACCACCCGCTCCGCGCCTCGTATAGTGCTTTCCCCAGCGCCAGGATAGCCTTTCCCGCCAAAGATCCCGGACCCCACTGTGTTCTTGATGATGTCGTGGTGTATAGGGAGGATAGTGAAGACGCAAAGACGATAGGGATGGAGAAGCGCGCAAGATGCGGTGATCGCCTCGGCGATGGGGACGGATACATGGGGCGGACCGAAGGGAGCCCCAACAGCCGTCCTGACGCCGATGGGCCTTTAATACTTATCGCTGGCCCGCAGCTCCCATCAGTCACAACACTCCCGTCATCACGGGATGGAGAGAGATGGAGGGAGACGGAGGCAGCGAGTATGTAGGCGCCAATGTTACGGTTCATGATTGCCCCAGACACGAGGTTTGGATCATGATGGTGCCAGATCGTGCCCTCACTGCTCAGGACGTCGGCAAAGTACCGTCAGTGTGCCGTAATACTTGAGGTCTAAAATTCAAGACAAGCACCGAGGTTGAACGCAAGTGTAGTTGCCGAGGTGCCATTCCGTAGAGGTTCCGGTGCCATGCGCCCACAGTAAGCACATTACGACAGCCTGAACAAAAAGACTAGCCGCCGCCTGCTAGAGAGACGGGGCGAGGAGCATCCCGAATTAAGCCGTTTATGGCAATTATCCGAGCGCTCCCCGGTAACTTCGGCCTTCTGCCCAGTGGATCTAGGGCATAAAAGCTGCGGAGGAGTCGAGGGTCCGGGTTTCAGCAGGAAGTTTTAAGGTTGAGCTCGGCAAATTGCCCTCGAATATGGGGGGCCGATCTGATCATGGAGAAGTGGCGCAAGTCCTTGAGCGATCAATTGAGATGAGAAGTAACTTGCCTCAGCTTGCCAAGTATGTTGTCTCTCTAGACTCTAGACAGACGCTATAACATAAACACGCTCGTTCCTCGCTCGTAAGTCCCAAGTACGGCCGCTCTTCTGATTCAGACAGCAATCGGTGCGGAAGGCAGTTCATCTCAGAGATGCGTTCGGCGAAGCCTCAGCGGGGGAGGGAATGGCTGGCTGTATGTATTAGCAGTCCTTCTTTCACAAATCGTAGACCAGAAGGACATCACGGGAGGAGCGCCACCATGACCGCCATCAGTAGCGGTGTGGCGGTGTCCTGATCCTGTTCGACTCCCGCTGCGGCCGCCTTTTTTTGTTTTAGTTTTTTTGTTGGGTAGAGAGCTTGTGGCGGGAGAAATAAAAACACAAGGCGAAGAGAAGAAGAACGGCAAAGTTCCTGGCTGGTCCCAACGCCATCAGTGACGAGGTGAACCCTGCCCACTTTTCTTTCCGTTCTCTATAAAACTAAGGTTTCCAGTGCGTTTATGGGTAATAAAATCCCTGTTCAAGATTCGGGTTGGTCGCCATTCCCACTAGCCTCAACAGCCCCTTTCGACTTAGTGCAATCGGGCTGTCGGCCGATCCCGATCCGGCAAAAGTACTGATGATGCCATCAATTGTGAAAATTTTGCGATCAATCTCATCAAAATCGTGAAAAATCCGAATACTCATCTTCTCCTGGGCTCAACAGCTCCCATAATATTGGGGCTGGGGCTTGGATCTGGAGTTACTATAAGGATGTCTCACGCTCATACAAGGATCATCCAGCTCGAATTGAAGCTAGCAGCCTACTTTTGGTCCTAGAGTTAGGCGGTCTGCCGAGGGCATCAAAGGGCACGAGGCAGGCAGATAAAACGACAGAAATCCTGCTTAAAAAGCGACCATGGTGGGACTCGAACCCACAGTCTCTGCCTTGAAATTACGGGAAGGGATCGGAAAGCAACGCAGTAACCATTTTGCCACACGGCCATGGCAATGATTTTTGTAATGCATATATGGTCCGCGGCCTGAAAATTCTTCATGTTGCCCACTGTCGACGATGGACGAAGCTGCCGTACGCCGTTGATATCTGACCACGAAATCTGAAGGACTCAATACGGGCTTCGATGAAATGGCGGACGAGGGCGGCTTTGTTTCGTCGAAATGCAATTGGTGATACAGGCCAGAGTAAAATAAGCATCCGCCGATGTTCAGCATCTGTCAAGTTTCTGATGGATGCCGGTGGAGGAAGGAGGATCGTTGACGTGGCTCCGCGCACCAATGCATGGTAGATTCCGGCAGATGCCACAGCCTATGGCGGTGCGCGTGTGTGGCTAGCTTCTGAACTGAAGTCAAGTTTCTCACTGGTTCAATATATTACAATGTCGCAATCAGGCCCAGACGTATTAGTGTAGCCAGGAAAAAGCAAGGAGAATGATGAGGATGGCCTTTGCCAGGACTAAGAATTGCCAGCACCGCGAGATCGCTTCGGGTTTCTCGTCGAGAGTCAAGTATGCTGCTGGGGATGAAAACATGGTTGGACACCGGTTCCGAGGGTATTTATTAATCCCCTCACCAGATTTGATAGTAGTGGATTCTTGTGTACTCTCCTCGCCCTCCGTGAGTGGAGCGTCGATCTCATCAGCTGCAGAGGGATGTTTATCAGCTGCACCTTTTCAGCATCACTTCATCTCACCATGCACAAGGTGTTGATTATGGAGCTCTCCGGATAATTTAAAAAGCGGTTGACTGAGATATCGGGCAATATTGTCGCTGTCGGGATCGAAGCCTTTAGCTTGGTGGAATTTCCGCAACCCGGCGTAGACGCCGGAATCCCAGAAGTATCCCGTTACCTGCATTCCCACCGTCATGACCGGAAATCCGAGTTGGCTCGCCTCCTCCGAACTGAGACGGACGGCTCCGGAGGGGTCGAGGGACCAGTACGCTAGGGAATCCGGGAATTGGAGTGAATTTAATCCAGTTTCAAGGTCCTCGGGACAGACAAATAAGTACCCGTCGGCAGGAGGTTGAGGGACTGAAGCAATCCGAACCGAAAACCCGATTGACTTTACTAGCGCTGTTGCCTGTTAGCACTGGCAAAAATACACCATGAGTATTTGTATAAGACACACCATATTCCTCGTGGTTTGAGGCGATCTGGAGTTGACTGAAAACGTGATTTGCTTGACTGAGCCAGGCTGAGTTATCCTTGCTGTCATCGTCGCTGCTGCATATCCAATGACCAATGGCTGCACCACACACATCGCAGGCGTTGTACCTTCAAAATACTCCGTCTGAATGATTCCATCCCAGACAATAATTTTGACATACCGAGTCCAACCATCAACGTCGGTTCCTGACACCAGTGGACCCGGGTTCCAATCCTTCACATCAACCCTCGGACCAGGCATGAATGCAATCTCGGCCGATCCGTCCAGTTGACCGTTGGAAGTCCAAGGGATTATGGCTCCCGTCCTCACCGGTATATGCGACTGCGATTGCCAAACAGTGTAGAATTGGCCCAGATGTTGGGAACAGATCCCATGGTACTGTTCGAGTGTTAAAGAGGAAACGACCGCGTTCTCCAGATTCGGCCCGTTGAGGACCGTTATGTTATAAGTCGCTTCTCTTGATAGCTCATTTTTTGAAAAATCAAAAAAAGTCCAAGTACCCATTCCGGGAGAGATTCGCGCAGAGCTGGCCAGTGGAGCGACGGATGGAAAAGCGGCAATTGGGCTAGGGCAGATTCTTCATCAACACAATCCATGATCGTTCATTGGGACTCACCAGATCTCTTTGGAACACGAGCTCAAAGTGACGGTGCGCCTCCTGCAACTTTGAAGACAGTCCGCCATCAATCAATTCAATGACAATTGCAATTGATTTACGAAGTAATCCCTGTTCTGGATTTCACTCAACATTCTGGAGATAAAAGATGACGGATACCCATACACAATGTGCCCGGAGATATACGGTCGCGAAATGTGAATGCTGGTAGAGGTCCCAGAAATGTTGGTAAGGCACGAGGTCTGATTCAAACTCAGCCCATGCAGCTTCCAAATCGCGAGACTCGCCGTCGAAAAAAATGGTGGCGGCTATTCCCGGTGAGATCGCTACACCATAAATTTGAAGAAAATTGGGATGGCTGAATAGATCAATAATTAAGATGTATAACATGGGAGTATTTGAACTGGCCGGAGGCACGAAATCTTCGAGAGATCACCACGCAATTCCTGCAACCGTATGATTAACGGTCCTTCAGAGACCAGAACACGAGGAAGATCCCACCTCCTGCGCGTCGTCCCCCTGGTAGACCGCCACAGTCATGGCAGACTTTTTGCCTTCGATCCTGGCAGTGTACATCCGCCGAACACATGCTCGTCTACCTCCGCGATTGACTACGCCAATTTCATCGTCCAGTCGTATCTGTTTCCTGAGTCGATGTCCTCCAGTGGAATCACGCGGAAATCTACCCTCGCAGCGTAAAGCTTGGCACGATCTGAATCTCGAAACATACCTGTAGAAAGGGACGGGGCGCTGTGGAAAATGTTGACATTGCTCGTGAACACACCCCCTTCAACGACCAAGTTCTGGGAGCTGGGGAAAAAGGCACCGGTATATCTGGATTAAACGCCTTAAGATACCGCCTACTTCAACGGCAAAGTGACTCACGGCGCAGAGCTACCGTCATTTATGGCGGATTCGGAGGTGAATTCATCCGCGTCGTCGAGTTGAGGGTCGGCGTCCATGGGTGAAGGAGGCGAGAAGCACTTGAGCGCCGAAGAGCTGTTTCCCGTCCTATATATACGAGCTGTTGAGCGCCGGCACCGCATTTTGGGTGTTGTTAGGTGATGCACTGATAGATAGCTCAACTTCCGGGCTGGGAGATCATCCACGGGCTCCGAACAGGCATCGGACATTTAGTAACTGGGCGTGTAGCAGTCTTCAACAAAATTCGACTGTCGATTTTGACTTTCCCCCGCGCAAACGGCCCTTATGAATTTACCGCCGAGTCCCATATGCATCTACTACGTTATTCCAAGGTAATAGACGAGAGTGTCGAGGGCGAGAATGAGATGTGCACCACAACATACGACCTTTAATTTTTTTGCGAAACGAAAACCTGGTATCCGTATAATTTTAAACCAAAGTAACAGCTACCGAAACAAGCAAGATCCATGTTATCCCTCCCTTGTCCAGTGTCTGGTATGATAGCAGCACGCTCCCGCTCAAATCCCCGCCCCACCCGTCACCTCGAGCGTGTGCCCGCTCACGTACGACGCCAGCGGCGAGGCGAGGCTGCGTGGGTGTGGTGCCATGCATCGCGGCGAGGAATTGGCGGCACGAAAAGATTCGGATTCGCGGCGGACGCAAGCCAGCGGGGGTGATAGCGTTTAGGGGTAAGTAGCAAGACGGGGAAGAACGAGGAACGGTCAGTCCAAACACAAGAAAGAAAGAGCGAGAGAAACGCACAAGAGCATCGCCCCCGCGGCCTCGTCTGCGTTCCCGCCCCGGCGCAGCGGGATGCCCGGGTTGTTCGCGGGCGCGTCGGGTGAGGCGCCCGGGACGCCCAGCGCGACCTTCTTCCCGTCAATCTCCATCGTCGCGCCGGCTTCTTTGGCGGCGGTGAGTCTGGGTGGTGTGAGCGCTGCTTCAAAAGGGGGAAGAGGAAGGAACAGAGCATGGAAAACGAAGCGAGCGTACAAGAGAAAGAAGGAATAGAGCACGGAAAAGGAATAGAAAGAAGGCGCACTACGTACCTTGTATGAATCAGCCCGAACGCGACCGTGTTCGCGCGTACGCCAAAGGGCCCCCACTCCTTCGCGATGGTCTTGGTGAGGCCGATGACGGCGGCCTTGGCGGCGGCGTAGTTCGCCTGCCCGACGTTCCCGTGCAGGCCCGAGGTGGAGGAGACGTTGATGATCGAGCGGTTTTCGCGGGCGTCGGGCTGCGCGAGTGTATTAGTAAGGTGTTGGCTAAAAACAGGGATGGCACGCGCACCTTGACGCGGAAGTACGGCGCGGCCTGGCGGACGAGGCGGAAGGGCGCGCGGACGTGGATCTTGATGATGATGTCGAAGGTGTCGTCGGGCGTGGTGTGCAGCATCTTGTCGAAGGTGAAGCCAGCTGTCGCGCATCCACTTGTTTATCGACTGAAAACCCTTCTGGGGTGGGAGGAAAGCGCACCGTTATTGACGATGTGGTTAATCTTTCCGTATTTCCTGCAGCAGACACGTTAAGCGGATATAACAAATTGGTACGCGTACGCACTGCACCGTCGCATCCACGATTTTCTTGGGAAAGTCGTCGGCGCCCACGTCGCCCGCCACACCGAGGACGTCGCCCCCCGCGGCCTTGATCTCCTCCGCGACAGTCGCGAGGCGCTTTTCGTCGATGCTGCGACCGACATATTATTGATATGGTCTGCGGGCACACATCCATGACCTACTCGCTGATGACGACCTTCGCGCCCTCCTTGGCGAAGAGGAGCGCCGCACTGCGCCCGATTCCCTGGAAAATAATTGAGCCTCTGTTGGACCTGAGAATGGACGACAATGTACCTGACCGGCTCCTACCACGCAAAGTTAGCATACACGCGTCTGGGTTGGCCACGTAGCACGCACCTGTGATGATAGCAACCTCACCAGCGAGCAGGCCGCGCCCGTGGCTGGTGGAGAGGTGCTGCGAGACTTGCGCGAGACGGTCGGACATTGGAGGGCAAAGTGTGCGGAGTGGGCAAGGAGTGGGAGGAAATGTGGCAGGTGACCGGGTCGGCAAGGTGGTTGCCGGCTGGGCCGGTTATTGAGATTGCCGATGAGAAATGTTCGCGTCGTAGCGTACGGATCTGCGTTTCAACGAGGAAAGAGTCCGAGAGACAGAGAGAGAAAGAAGGAAAACCGGAAATTAAAACTGAACAGTTACCAATGCTTTGAAATTTGACCATCGACCTCTTCAATGTTCATGCGTCCTGCATCCAACCTAAATTTATTG